GGAATTTACAAGGAAATAAAATTTACAAGGAAATGGCAAGGAAAAATACAAAAATTAAAGGAAATTGCAAGGATTTCTGTAACTTATACCAGTTACAAGTCTTAAACCAGTAAAAATCAACTTATAAATAGTATAGGTCTAACAAAAGAGGTACAGAAGAATCTGAAAATGCCATTTCCGGCGATCTAGGGACTATAAATTTCAAAATTTGCCGTTCAGCGCCTTCTGCCATTCAACCCCTCCACTATTAGATAGATCAACTTTATTTAAACACATTGGCCTTTTCAGCAAAAGCTGATTTCCAAAAGGGATGTGTACTTACAAATTATTATTTATAAACTAGCTCTAATATTACATACATAACAAATACAATTATATACCTATTTAGACAAAAAATTAACTACTATAAGTTGAGATTAAGGTCGAGGAAGATAGCTTTTTACAGAACGAATTATACGATACCGAATTACGTATCTCTTCAGGTATCTGATTCCATAGTTTAGCCCCACTATATTGGAAGCTTTTTTTTAAGGATTCCGTTTTTGGTCTTGGAATATAAAACCTTGTTGAAGAACCTCTCAAATTATGGTCATGAATGGTATTCAGATTTTGGAAAGCTTCGCATAGTCGTTGGGGGGCTAAACCATTAACTGTCTTGTACATGAGCCTGGCTTTCATTTGTGCCCTACGCTCTTCAAGTGTTACCCAGCCTAGAGATTTTCGTGCCAAAATAGACTGACCATGTTCATTTTTTAAGTTCATGATCAACCTAGCCGCTCTGTTTTGGAATTTCTGTAGACGTTCGCTTAGGCCTTTATTAAGTGTATCCCATACTTCACAGTAGTAATCAAAATAAGGTTGGATTAAGGCATTAAACTTTTATCAAAATGTCTTGTTCGACATACTCCCTCATTTTTCTAATAGCGCCAATACCTGATGATATTTTACTGCTAATATGGTTAATGTGTTTTTCCCAACTCAAGTTTTCGTCTAATTCAACTCCAAGAGCTTTGGTATTTTTAACTTTTTTAATCAATTGATTATTCATTTTAACTCCTTGATGGGTATCAATATTACTTATTTTATGTCGTGTTCCAATTAAAACATATTCGGTTTTCACTATATTTAGACGTAGTTTATTTGCACAAAGCCATTTCTGAACATTCCTCATGTCTACGCTCGCCCTCTCTTCCGCCTCACTAATTGTTCTGCCTACTGCCGTTAAGTTAGTATCATCAGCAAACATTCTTGGAGTTGTGCGTTCTAGGCAGCTTGGCAAATCATTTATATACATAATAAATAAGAGAGGGCCGAGTATACTTCCCTGAGGAATGCCACAAATGATTTCTTTCTCCACCGAGAGTATGCTGGCCAATTGACAACTTTGAGTTCGGTGCGTCAAATAGCAACGTAAAAGATTTAATGCTTTCCTTTGGAAACCATACATTTCAAACTTACTTAACAGTATTTCGTGGTCGACTGTATCGAATGCTTTTTTTAGGTCAAGAAAAACAACTAAGTTATACAGCCCACGGTCCATGTTGGTATACCATTCGTTCGTACAACCCAATAATGTAGTAGTTGTGGAATGATAAGGTCTGAAACCAAATTGGTGTTTTGAGAAAAGATTATTCTGGTTAAGATACTCATACATTTGATCATACATAATTCTTTCCATAAGTTTACTTACTACAGGAAGGATTGATATCGGTCTATAGTTGTCCAACATGGACCGCTGACCTTTCTTAAACAATGGAATAACCCTTGCAGCTTTCCGATCAGAAGGAAATTGATCCGAGTCAATTGACATATTAAAAATCTCAGTAAGAGAAGGTGCAATAACTGGAGCTGCTACTTGTAGAATGTTAGCTGAAATTTTATCCATTCCAGTCGCTTTGGTGGTAGACAAAGTAACTAGAAGAGTGTAAACCAATGTTACACTCACTGGTCGAAATGAGAAACTGTTCTTTGTCTTAGATTTTTGTTGAGTAATAAAATCTCGAAAACTAACGTCATTGTCATTTGGAATAGACTCAGCAAGCTTTGGGCCAATATTACTAAAATGATCATTAAAAATGTCGACTAATTCGTCGGTCGATGTAACAGTTTTACCTGGAAGTTTAATTTCATTAATCGTAGTCTGTTTTCTGTTTTGACCTAATATATCGTTTATTGTTCTCCAAGCATATTTAGGATTCTGTTTATTATTTGTGAATTTGTTTGCATAATAATCTCTTTTAGCACTGCGCAAAGCAGTGTTGGCAACATTTCTAGATGACTTATATAGTCTCCAGTCTTCTTCTTTATTTGTCTTTATTGCTTTACGCTTAAGAGCATCTCTTTTAAATAATTTTTCCTTTACTTCCCGGCTTACCCAAGGAATATTGCCCCCTTTTCTTAATCTTTTTACTCTCACAGGGGCATGTTTATCCAGCACATCTACAAAAAATGTTTTCCATAACCGCCACATTTCATCTACATTTCTTTTAAATCTTATTTCTTCCCAAGGTATATTTTGTAAGTCATATAGAAAGCCTGAAACATTGAAATTCTTAAAATTTCTATACTCGACAGAACCTTGTAAATCAGTTTTTATTCTTGTACTTATTTTCCGAATACTATAAATGAGGTTGTGATCACTAATTCCGAGATGGACTACACCTGGAAAAATTATTTTTTCAGGCATTGACGCAATTACTACATCCAATGATTGGCTAGACTGGGTAATACGCATAGGGTTATTAATTAATTGTGTAAGCTGATATAATTCCAAAACGTCTTGAAGCCTTCTAGTGGTGGACAAAGTTGGTTCTAGCATATTACAATTTAAATCTCCCAAAATATAAAATTCTATATTTTCATCATCAATTGATTTGATTAGCCTCTCAATTTTTATAAACACTTCACTAGCGGAACATGGTGGTCTATAAATACTTGAAACTATAAAATATTGACTATTAGCCTGCCTAATTTCCACACAGACAGCTTCAAGGCCTGATGGAACTAGATCTGGGCGATTTTCATAATTTATATGGAGTCTTATATAAATACATACCCCTCCTCCATTTCTATTCCGATCAGCACGTAGCAAGTCATAACCTTCAATGCTAACAATCCCATTGGAAATAGTAGAGTCCAAACGGGTTTCATTAACTGCTAAAACATCTAAATATTTATCGTGAAGTAATAATCGGATTTCATCAAGGTGTTTCGGAAGGCTAACTACATTAAGCATAGCCATCTTAAGACCCCTTGTTTTCGGAATATTTAAACAAGCATCATTAGCACTCCTCCTCGACCCGTCCTCATTTCAATTGTGCGAACTTAAGAAATATGAAAAGTTTGCAAGTATTTGCGAATCTCCAAGTATAACGACCGTTTCTTTAGTACGTTGTCTTTCTGCTGTTATTTCCTCACTTGCCTTATGCGCTTCTCTTGTTTGCTCGTTTTCCTTTGCCTTTTGTTCGTTATTCTTCACCTTTTGTTTCTTATTCTTATTCTTCTTATGCTTTTGTTCCTGATTAATCTGCTTCGTATTTCTTTTTCAAATTGCTCGTTGCGCCGTTGATGCATGATCGGTTTCACTGTCACTTGCAGCAACACAGCCATGTTTTGGATCTTTGGGTCGTTCTCTGCTAGTGTCCTGGATTTCTTTATTCTGGGGAGCCTGTGTAGACTTTAAGATGACGCTGTCATCCTCACTAGCTTCGCTGTCGTCGATATCATCACTCAAGACTATATATATTGATTTTTTATCCGAGTTGCACCATCTTTGTCCCTGATGTCACCACTGGGACCAATTGTAGAATAATTCTTTGAGGAACCACGGCCAATCTTAGACCTTTTATGATTGTTTACAACATTCCAAGACGCTATAGATTTATTAGCATGACAAGTATGTTGATTTTGATCATCATGTAGAATTTTAATGACTGTGACCAAGCTGTCTTTTTCATTTTCTAAATCTTTGACCTTTGTTCTCAAGTCCGATGTAATACATTTGTAGTTGTTAATCTGCTGTTTAAGTAAAGCATTTTCATCTTTAAGACTAGCGTTCTCTTTAACGAGAAATCCCTTATTAAAAACTGTAGATATTGATTCGTCACGAGACTTGATGTTTTCGTTCTCGTCTCTTGTGAGGTTCCTGATATCTAATTCTGATCTTATTTCCAGAGCTTCGCTTGCAAGTTCTGTGTATTCAGCTTCTAGGTTCCCTCGCGCAATTTTCTCGACATGTAATTCTAGTCTAGTCTCGTGTACTTCGCTTGCGAGATCATTTATCCTACTTTCCAACTTCGCCTCAAGGCTTCTTACGGTATTAAGCAATGATTCATACTTGTTTAACTGACCAGTGGAAATTTGATTCTCGCTTTCGTTACTTGCTGCTTCCTCATCAAAGTTGATTGATATTTCGCCATTACCAGAGACACAGGCAGCATTTGTGTCTTCGGATTCTAACTGTAGCTGTTTGTTGAGATGAATAAGTTGAGTCTTAAACTCATCACACGACTTTCCATTAATTGTAAGTGAGTTACTATCTGAATACCATCTTACAACTTCATTCAGCTCAAGCAACTTACAATAGTCGCCGGGAGACGACCATTTTGTTTCTTTGCCGGTCAATTCGTTCATCAAATTTTTGAGACTTTCAAAAGGGCCTATCCATTTGAATTTGTTCTTGTCATTTACAACAAGATACTTTGACGTACCATTTATGTATTTTACTTGATCTACAACATTAGTTGAGGTCTTATCAGCCAATTCAAAATCTATATTATCGGAGCTCAAGAGTATATGACCTTTGTCCATGACTGCACTGATCAAGCACAGTAAGCCCCTGGATGAACATAAACATCTATGTGGAGCAGATACTTTCATGGAGGGAACTCTTGAAAGCTTGTTCAAATTTTCAGGCAATGTAATGATGCTCGATTTCTCGTGGGGTCTATGGTACATTCAAATTTGCCTGAATTTTCTTGATTTTTTCCACCATTTGGGTGGCAAGGAAATTTTATGGGAAAAAAGGAATTTTGGAGATTGTAAAAGGATATTTGAACAAGCAGTTGTGGAAGCACTGAATACAGTACTCGTATCCAGTAAACTCCAATAGTTAACCTGCACCGTAGCACGAGAACGAACGAATATGCAGGTATGCAAATGTGCTTTGGTCAAAAGCTGAAATCTGATTGGATTGCATAATTAATCTCGTACGTATCGGACAAGTAGAGACGAGAGCGAACGAATACGTAATTAATAAAACAAGAGTTAATTTGCATGATCTTGAGTGATGACATTTTTTACAAATTGAAAAGCCCAAAGAGAATAAAAATATAAAGTTAAGTCAAGACGTGTGTGCATGTGGTTAATATATTTGTAGTACTAAAAAAATTGACACCATTGCAATAATACGCATGCATATAGCATTATTGTTAAGAACTAAAAACTGAAGCATGAGTCCGAAACAAGTCAGACACATTGTTTAATAAATGAACAATATAGACGAAATTGTCCAGTTTGGGATAGTGTTATACTGTAAACGCAGACATCGCGCGAGATGAACTGACGTTTTATGAACACATGACATATCCAACAACGTGCAGGGGGCTGGAGCTGTATGCTAATACAGCTCTTGCTGTTAAGACAAGCAGGTAGTAGAACGCACGAAAAAGCTGTCCAACTGTGGCAAGTAATGAGTTTAAAGCATCGACGTTTCTCTCAATGACATTGGTCGAGTCTCCATTGATGCGTTAATACTGGCAAATATATTGCGAAATAAGCGTTGAAGACATTATTTAGCTGCATAAAACTGATAAAACTGAGACGTTAGGACCTCCATTTGGTTGTTCATATACCATACAAAGTTCCCGTGTATGGCATTGTATAATATACTTAATACTGTGTGACACAAGCTGACGCCTACTGGGCATACTCGAAATTCAGTAGCTAGTAGCTCCCATGCATAAATTCAAATTGCAATTGACTATTTCCCAAGAGGTTAGGTTCTCACAATATTAACTGTGAGTTTTCAGAGCACTTCCCCCAAACGTTAAGTTATTTCAAAAGATTGACCGAATATTTGCCATGCATGCATGCATGCATGTATAGATTTTGTTAGCTACTTGCTTAGTGCATGTTGATGTCGATCGATGCAGGGGAAAGCGAAGTTTATTTGAATATTGTAGAAAATATGGTCATGGAATAGTATTTTGAATCGGAAATTAATATATTTGGCACGGAATAGTTTACAAAGCTGAACTTATACAAGTTGTAAGCATGTTTCAAAGTTGGAACACGGGAACCGGACGATTGTACTAGGGTATCACAGGCTATAGCATAGACATGGATCTCTTGTTAAACTTGCTTATAGTTTGTGTTCCATGCCGCGGGTAGACTGTATATATATCCTACTGTTTCTACCGCTGCAAACAGCAATAACCAATGCATGTACAATTATTGCTGCATTGATTGCATTATTTACTCCCTGGCACCGCTTGGCACGGTCAATATGGCTTGACATATTTAATATAAACAACAAACAAAAGTTTACGAGTATTATAATGAGTTTATCTCATAGCCAATGGAAAACGTCTATCATACGAATGAGTACGAGACTGTCGTTCAGTCAATGAGGCTATTCGTTCGTTCTCGTGCCACGGTGCAGGTTGACTAATAAGACTGGAACGATAACTCAGGTAAACATGCCGATACTTGCCTGAGTGGGACATTCAGTCAAAGTTTTATATTTTCGACGAAAATGAGCAAGAAAAGTCGTTTTTCATCAAAATACTTCAATTTTAAAAACCCAAATAAAAACCCAAATACGATTTATTTGATAGTTAGAACTGCTTTGCATCCTACAACAGCAGAAGTTTGAAGGGTATCAGGTTTGTTTTCATAAAAACGACACTAGTTGAACGTGCCGAAGTGAACTTTGCTCTTTAACAAAAAAAACCAACTTTAAAACGTAAGTCTACGGACCAAATGACCAATACCTTTTTTGTATTAATGTCTATAGTTACAGGAACCACTGAGTACTCTTATAAAATACAAAAGGACAGTAACTCCAAATAACATTTTGTAGGTTTAATGAATCTACGTTTCGACAATATTTTAGTATATATATATATATATATATATATATATATATATATATATATATATATATATATTATATATATATATATATTATATATATATATA